AAAATTTATTTATAAGCAAATAATTACTTTATAACTAAAAATTTTACTTATGCTTTTATGTAAAAATTGCTTATAGAGTAAAAATACTACCAGCAATGCTTATAAATAAAAATCACTTATGTGTGAAATAAATATTTAAAAGTACAAAATTAATTTATAACTGCAAAATTTATTTATAAATAAAAAAATTACTTATAACTTAAAATTATATTTATAATTATAATTATATATCTCACTTTTTAAATTAGAAATGATCTTAAATTAAAAAAATAATTTAGAAATAAAATATCACTTATGATTAAAATAATTCATGTAAAATTGAACATTTCACTAAACGGATATTATGTAACTTTATTGTTTAAGCGATTAAAAAAATTCATGCAAACTTGAAAATCTCACTAAAGATATATGTAATTTTATTGTTTCAAAAAACTTTCGACATAAAGTCTCAAGCACGATTAGAATATTTAGAAATTACTACTAAAAACCACCCAAAATTGGACCTCCATAAACGCTCAAAATCGACAGCTTAAAAATGCCCTACCCAAAATTCCCAAGCATGCTCTAAGTGGCTCTGTAGCCATATTTTCATTAAGTTTTTGTTTGGAAAAACTTAAAAGTTTTTAAAAAGTTGAAGTTAAAGTTCATAATTAATTTTGATCATGTATTCATAGGATTGATGAAGAGGTCTTACGAATTTAATTGTTTGATTGAATTGAGGATGGTAAGATTCTATTAAATACTGGCGATTTAAAATAATATAAAAATACAAATAAACGTCAAATATTATTTAATAACAAATTAACAATTATAATTAGCTAAAATTAAGCAATAAAATCAAAGTTGTAACTATTTTATTAATTTTCAAAATTGATTTTCTAAAATGCAAAGAGATGAGGGTGACATGAAAACTTCGTTGAGTGTTGAACCAAAATCCCAAATCTAAGTATACTTCCATTTTAGTTATTTCTAAGATCAAATTTTAACAACAAATAATCTTTATATGACAGACTCATGAATACCAGTGTCCAGTCACCATGTATATTTGCATATAGTACACACAATCATAAATTTTATGAATAATTATTAATTACAACATTATGAGCCCAGAAAATTAATTAATTACGATTTTCATATAGTGGACTACTTTGTGCCACAACCATAGCTAGGTTGGGGTCTAATCATGCAATGTTAGAGAGCGTTGCATAAATGAAGGAGAGGGGAGTTGGGTGGATTGGAGCATTGGGGGCATTAAACGGTGATCATGATAGTGATGAAGAAAGATGCTTGTAGAAAGCGAAGCCGTCTTAATGTTGAGTTAATGAAGGCAGGTAGACTTAGTAATGGTGGTCTGGCAAAGCTTTTGATTAGAGTTTTAGCAGATTTTGATAAAAGTTAATAAAATACATGATTGAAAAGTTTATAAAAGTTGTTAATCCAATAAAATGTATGATTAAAATTAATTATTGACTTGAACGTCAACTTTATAAAGTTATTCCAAATAAGCAATAAATTATAACCTCGCCACCCTCACTAACATATATATGTTTTTTGTGCATGCATGCATGCGTCATTTCTAGGTTTCAATGTGTTTGCCTACTCGCTATCTCCCTCTCTCGTTTTCTCTACCTTCATAGCCTACATTGTAATTACTAATTAGGCAATTTAAGAGGCCGGACTTTAGCAACATGTTTGGTACATAATATTGAATAACACGTTGATAAGATTTTAATTTTTTTTGTCTAATATTATTCAATAATGTACAGATTATCTTAATTAATAAATCAACCATAGGAGAATAAAGATACATCGTCTAGTAATATTGTGAAAAAAAAAAAAGTTAATGATTCATTTTTTCTTTCTTTCCATTTTTTATTTTTATTTTTTGCGTGTGCATGCATATATTTATTGTTCATAGTACTCACCTTATGTTCTAATTTTAGCCTGTTGCCAGGGCCGGTCCTGGGCTGAGGCATTTGAGGCCTCAGCCTCAGGCCCAAAACCCTTAGGGGGCCCAATTTTGCTTCAATTTTTTTTTTTTTTTTTTTTTGGATAGTTTTGGATTTTGGATGTTATTTTAATTTTGTATTGTTTTCGTAAACTTGTAATGCTCAAATTTTTGCGTACATAATTGAAAATGTTATTAGATTTTTACGCAAATTTTTACGTTGATTTCGTCCGGGGGCCCAATTTACGGACCTCGCCTCGGGCCTCCATTATCACAGGACCGGCCCTGCCTGTTGCCAAACATATAAATCAAAAGACTTTTGTTTTGTTGATTTATCCAATAGAATTCAATTAAAGCAAACAACAAACTACAACAATATAAGTTTCTTTCCCTACAAATTTAAATAAATCGACTAACTAAACTATTTTCGGTCAAGATCTAGTAAAGCACACAGATTAACTGTTTTAACATTGCTAAGGCACTAATATTTTATATCGATCAATTTAACAAAATATATAAATCATTTATAAATGTTTAAACTTTATTTTCACTCACATATTTTAATAAATCTATACGTACTGTCCACTTATTTATCACTTATTTTATAAATTAAATTGTTTATAGATTCTTTCCAATGCTGACTTTTTTTGCTTATGTTCAGAAAAGATTATGAGTAACTTTTTATAATCAGCAATGGTGAGATCATGGAATACGTAGATAATAATGAATGATAATTTTAAATATGTGTTTAAAATTAAACTTTCACTGTATAATACATAAAAGTAACTTAAAATTTACTAAAAATGTTCTTTCAAAGATGTGTTGAGGTGCCAAATATTCAAACGGATGATGTACTAAAATTTAGTACAATACTTGGTATATTTGCAAACAACAAGACAGCCCCCACGGCTCCGTAAGGTAGGGAAATGGGTGATAGAGACATACTTAATTATAGCTCATGAAAATCTGGTTGTATTTGATATAAAGTTTTTTTTTTATAGTTGAGCAGATGAGTTTCTATATATTCGTAGATCATAGGACGGAGAAAAATTTCAGTGGGATGATCGTACCGTCCTATGTGGTGTGACGGCCAAGTGGGGAGCTACCACCTCATGCCCTCATTGGGTGAGAGCAGGCCACCTGATGAGGTGGTGAATTTCCATTCGACAATCGTACCATGTAGGATAGTGCGATCATTCCATCGAAGTTTTTCTTCATAGGATGGGGTGGTTTAATTTAATAGCCGCCAGGGTGTTGAGAGTTTTTGAAGTTATTGGTCTTGTCTTCTTTATTTTTATTTATTTATTTTATTTCATTTGTGAAAGTTGGAGTTTATGGATGTCCATTAAAGACCTCCTTCGACAGTTTACAGACACTACAATTTAATGACAATTCCAACTTCCCACTCTTTTAAAAGCTCTCCACTGCCCTACATATTTCAATAAACTTCTGTCGGGTTTAGTTAAAATTATATTTTTAGTAGATTTTGATAAAAATAGATGATATATATAGTTGAAAAGTTGATAAAAGTTGTGTATCCCGTTAAATAAGTGTATGAAAATGAATTTGAGAACAAACGAATTTTAAAAAATGAAGGTCAAACAAGGACAAATTTTAGCCCCTGTTTGTCTACCATTAATCGATGAAATTGGGTTTTGAAATAGTGAATTTTTGAAAAATATGTGGTTAAAAAGTAGAAAATACGTGTAAAATATTCTATTGTGAGAATTTGTAGCCAAAAATGAGTTTGAGAGATTTTTTATTTTTTTTCAAATAATGGTAGACAAATAGGGACTTAGTATATATGGGAATTTTATTTTATTTATTTATTTATTATTATTATTTTGGTTTAACACTAAACTAGGTTGAATCATGGGTGCAGTACTACACCTTTTTATTGAATTCTTGTATTAATAATGCCAGTTTAGGTATTGAAGTATAGTAAAGTGTTTGATACTATAAATTAGGAATAATGTTATTCATAGTGAGGACTATTGATCATCGTCCTACGTTAAATATATGTGTCAGGTTGTTATTTGATAAGACGACCACTTATAGACCTTATTATAAATAGCATTACTCATAAATTAGACATAATTAAAAGAATAAATTAATGTTCATTATCCATTGGAATAATGGGTCCCATCCACCATTAAAAAGGGGCTTCTTGGAGCACGTTTGGGAGTATTTTTTCAAACCAAAAATTTGATTTTTTGACCATCATTTCACTATTCAAGTCGTCACTTTTACATTTTCTCTCATAGGTAGTCCCCACTTTTCTCTTAATGGTCAAAAAATCAATTCTCAAAATTCCTACCGAGCAGAAGAAAGATACAACTATCTCACAAATAGCTGTAAACAACTTGATATTCAAACAAAACTCTACAAAACAAAATTAATTCTTCAATTCCGTTAAGATATTTAACGCTTTAGCTCAAGAACCTAGCGCAAGAACTCAAGAGCTGAAGTTTCTAACCGATATCTCATGTCTTGGAAAATCCTAAGGAAGGCTTTTGGCGCAAAATTTTTCTATTGAACATTGCTCCTGTTTGGTGTAGCTAAAAATCATATTTTTAGTAGATTTTGATAAAAATTGATGAAATGTAGGTTTATAAATTGATAAATGTTATGTATCTAATGTAATGTGCGACGTAAATTAATTGTTGATTTTGAACCAAATAAGGACATTATGTCCCATATTATTAAGTCTAACATAACAATTAATGATACGTATGATTTTAAAGATGGTATGGAACAAGAAACCAACCATGCTTACACATTAATCCATCAAGTTGGGTGCATATTCATTGATAATTTTGGCTTGCAATTAAGATCAGGTGTGCCAAGTGGTGCAAGGATTAGGACATTTGACCAAAGAGTTGGTTGGTTAGAATTTAAGCAGCTTGGAGCTATAGTAATTGCAAACCAATTTCACTTGAAGGCACACCATATGCGTACACAAAGATGGCCCTTTTATAATTAAGTTTCACGATAAAATACCTATATATATCCACCCCAACCCCTTTCACCATTCTAACAATTCACTCTCTCACTATATAGAGACACATGTATAGAGAGACGAGTACTTTTGATCATTCTTAAGCGGAAAAATGGTTCAAAAATCAGAAAGCTTATCGAAGAAGAGGAAGTGTGATGATCCTGAAAAACTCTCCAAGAAGCCAGAGAAAGTCAAAACCGTGAAATCGTTACTAAATACTTATGAACAACATGAGATACCATTACCTTTAGAGTGGCAACGATGCCTCGATATAAAGGTATCCAATATTATGTACCAACTCTCTAGTAATCAAGTTAAATCTTAAATTCACGATTGTCTCATCCAAATGTTTAAACTTTCAGAAATCGTGGTAGATCTTTTTGTGTATTATTTATCCAAGAACTCCTTTCTTTATGTTGTACACCAACTTGACTCAGAGTATGTGCTCGTTTGAATGCTGTCGGGAGAAATATACTACTACAACACAAGGACTAAAAAGAGGACATTAAGTGATCCGAGAACACTAAATCCAGAGCCAAGCTTAAATCTTGAACTCAATTTGCCCTGTGGATCACTGGAAAAGAATAATAATATTCAAGAACGAGAAGAAAATAACTTTATGATGAAGCAGAATTCATCAGGTGATGTCGGGGCTGGCTCGGGCCTTACCCGTTCGTCTTCTTGGCTAATATTCGAAGGGGAGCAACAAGAAATGGTAACTGCAGTATGCCAAAAATGTTCCATGTTGGTGATGATGTACAAAACTTCTCCCGCATGTCCCAACTGCAAATTCATGCACCAACCAGAACCAGACACAAGCTCTTCTTTGTTTAATGATCCGAGGTTAAGCCTCTTGTGTTAAGGATTTCTGGGACGTGGTATTTCCCTGCACCTCTTGGGAAAAACAAAAGAAAGGGACATTCACAGAGATAAAATATTGGTTGGGGGGGGGGGGGGGGGGG